TCATATTTTTCCATTATGGTTTATTATAGGGTATTGAATATAGTTCTCTGTGCTATACAGCTGACCCTGTTTATCCAATCTGTATATAGTACTTTGCATCTGCTAATCCAAAATTCCCAATCCATCCCTTCCCCAAGTAGTCACATCTTTGGGAACTCCGAATTTGGCTCTGGCACAATGCTGAGTACTTTGTTTACATTATCTCATTTAGTCAAAATACAGCAACCCACTTGTAGTTAAAAGAACACTAAGATCCAGACAGTTTACACAATTTGGCTGAGGTTGGGGGGAAAGTGGCAAAACTGGGATTCCAGCTCAGGTAGTTGGACTTTAAACTTGTGATCTTTCACCTCCCCTAGTGATGGCTCAATGTATGACCCTTTTCTATATTGTTTCCATTTTAATAGGAATCCTCAACACCTTAAACCAGATGAGTGAATAATAGAACCATTGCAGACTGCCAGGGGTGAAATGAGTTTCAAAAAGGAGTCCTTCAAGGCCCCCATGGGCTCTCAGAGAATTAGAGTTGTCTGCTTTTGATTTCTGCCTGTCGGGATGGAGAGTTGTTCACGGACATCCAAAATGACTCTTGAATGTTTCCGATTCAAATATCAATACCCACATTTCTGTCATTCACATCAAACCAAAATCAATAGCTCTCCCTAGCAAATTGAGTGGTTTTTAAATCAGAGCCAATATTCCCACTATCTGGTTCCTATCACTAGCAAGAAACTGAAAAGCTAGCAACTGTGCCTTTAAAATTCTATGTTAGGCTCATAAATATGTAGAATTTTTATTTTTAGTTATACTGTTGATGATTTAATTCACCTCATTCATATGAGGTCCTTTCCAGTGATCTATTGGTTAAGACAACTTCTTCCCCAGCATTCAGTCCATGGTTGGGTCCTGTGGAATTCAATAATTTGTTTAAATCCTGGGAGTCGTGGAGAATGCTCTTGGACACCTCTGGCTCACCAAATGACAAAAATGCCAGGAATACCTTCATTTTTAAAATTTAAAATCAATAGATTTTCATTTTTAAAAATTAAAATGGGTCATTTAAAACAGTAAAATTTAAACAATTTCATTACTTCATTTGTAGATTACTTTTCTTAACTAAGGAACAATGAAATCATAGATACCCTGAAGATACCTAGGGCTTATATCAGGTGGCTCAGTGGTAAAGAATCCTTCTACCAGTGCAGGAGATGCAGGTTCGATCCCTGGGTTGGGAAGATCCCCTGGAGAAGGAAATGCCAAGCCACCCCAGTATTCTTGCCTGAGAAATCCCATGGGCAGAGGAGCCTTGTGGGCTGCAGTCCATGAAGTCACAGGAATTGGACACGACTTAAACCACCACTACCTTGACACATTAAGTTAATCATTTGGGTGCGCACTTCATATTTCCTTTCTTTCTCTCCCAGCTTTGTAACCACCAGTACCTACTTTTTAATGAATGGATAATGCCCCTCTTGTCTTATAACTTCTCTGATTATAGTTTTATTACTTCTCTCGCTATCTTCTTTTATGGTTCAGGTAAAAGGCTTGCTTGAAGATAAGAGAAAAAGAAATTTAAAAATTAAAGGTCTGTAACCCTACATGTTGATCCTGTTTCTCCACATTGGATTTTGGGGGACCAGAAGCTGGGGCTGCAGGGGAGGACCTGTGACCACTTGTTATTTTGGTTGTGTTGGCCAAGTCTTCACTGGCCCTGCTCCTTCTGGCCTGTGGTCAATAGCTGGTCCCACTCTGGAGCTCCGACAACCAGCCAGTGAGTCCATCCTGTACCTCCCAGCTGCCCTCCCTATTGCTTTCTCCTTCAACTTCGGAGCCAGGCAGCTCCCCTAGAGAAATTCCTTAATCTGTCTAAGCCTCATTTTGCTCACTTGCCTGACGGGAAGATAAAGCTAACTTGCAGGGTCATCATGGGTATCAAATAAAACAGCACAGTGTCAGTACCCAGCAAGACGCCGAGAGCATGGTAAGCACCCCCAGCCTGGGCTCCCTCTGAAGCCCCTTCTCTATGCAGAGCTCCCCTCGGCCTCTGATTGGCAGGGACCTGCGGTCACAGAGGTGAAACAGAGGGTGTCAGGCATTTGCACCACAATTCAAGGTCTTGTAACTGTGCTTTTGACTAACTTCATTCCAAAACTTGGAAGGCAGAAAAAACAGAGCTAAGTAAACTCGTCTTTTCTAAGGCTTTTTATTCTAGCCACTGCCTTGAGGAGGCTCTTGCTATTTCAGAGAAGAGCAATCATGGCACTAAAGAGCCATTATCCTGCCCAGTTATCTCAGGGCTCACGTTGCCAGGGTAGCAGTGGCTCCAAAATAAAGAAATACTGAGAGATTTGTCAATTCTGAGCGACTAATTTGACTTGTGTTAGCCAAGAGCAAGGTTTTCATCTTATTGAATAGAACTTTTCCTTCATTAATTGGCTCTCCACCTTGTGAACGTGGCTGGGCAAAGAGGGACCATCGCCTCAGGCCTGGGCCCTTCTTGGTTCTGCCATTCCCCTAGAAGCTTTCCTAAAACATAAGGCCCCTCCAGCTTCCTGCTGAAGCCAACAGGCTTTCAACAGTCTCTTTGTTACTGCTCTTCCGTTAATAATTGTGTCTGAGCTTGCTCAGGGAACATTCCAAGTCTGTTGGTGTGAAAGCATGTTTTGGTTTCGGGGTGTAAGGTACTTAGTGCATTATCCTTAATCTCTCAGAATCCTTTATTATCTAATAATATAAGACAGAAAATGAATTTATGATCCAGGGGTCAAATTTGGTGCACAGACATGGGTTTCTTTTTCTTTTTAATTGTATATACAGTGTTTACCCCCCAACATTTTTATTGATGCGTTTTTCTAAGAGCAAAGTTGAAAAAATGTTATAGAAATTCTTGCCTACTCACCTCCTAGACTAAAACAGAAACATTTAATTCTACTTGTTACATCTCTCTATCCTTTTAGCCATCTGTCAATCCTTATTTTTTGATGCATTTTAAAGTAATATGGAAATATCAGTATACTTTCTCCTAAATACTTCAGTAGGCTAGAGTTTGATAAGAAATGCACACATGTTAAGTATACACACTTAAGTTTTAACAAATGCATATACCTTTATAACCCAGCTCAGCTTCCCTGGTGGCTCAGTGGTAAAGAATTCGCCTGCCAATGCAGGAGATGCAGGTTCTAAGCCTGGGTCATGAAGATCCCCTGGAAAAGGAAATGGCAACCCACTCTAGTATTCTTGTCTGGGAAATCCCATGGACAGAGGAGCCTGGGGGCTACAGACCATGGGGTCACAAAGAGTAGGACACAACTTAGCAACTAAACAACAGTGACAATATAATCCAAACTTCTATCAGTAGAGCATTAGCATCCTCGGAAATTCCCTTCATGTGTCTTCCAAGTCAATTGCCATCTGCAGAAGCAACCACTTTTCTGAATATTTTCCACTGTAGGTTGGTTTTGTCTATTCTAGAAATTCATGTAAATTGAAGCCTTAGTTTGTTCTTTTTCTTGTACAAGATTTCACTCACTGTAATGCTTTTGTGATTTATCCATGTTGTTGCATGTATCAATAATTCATTCCTTTACATGGCTAAGTAATATCCCACTCTATGAAAATATCACAGTCCATCCATTCTCCAATTGATTGACACTTGGCCTGTTTCCAGTTTTCTTTAGCTATTATGATAAAGCTGCTCAGAACAATACCTTACATATCTTTTTTCATTTCACTTGGGTAAATACTTAGGAGTAGAATTTGTGGGTCATAGAGTACATATATGGTTAGTTTTGTAATAAATTGCCAAAACTTTTCCAATAGTGATTTTACTGTTTACTCCCACCAACAATCCAATAGCTCCAACTCACAATCAACATTTGGTGTTCTCAGTCTTAGCCACCTGGTAGGTGTATAGTGTGGAGAAGGCAATGGCACCCCACTCCAGTACTCTTGCCTGGAAAATCCCATGGACGGAGGAGCCTGGTAGGCTGCAGTCCATGGGGTCTTGAAGAGGCGGACATGACTGAGCAACTTCACTTTCACTTTTCACTTTTATGCATTGGAGAAGGAAATGGCAACCCACTCCAGCGTTCTTGCCTGGAGAATCCCAGGGATGGGGTCGCACAGAGTCGGACACGACTGAAGTGACTTAGCAGCAGTAGCAGTAGCAGGTGTATAGTGGGATTTCATTGTGATTTTAATTTACATTCCCCTGATGATTAATGTTATAGAGCACTTTTTCATTACATTATAATTTTACTGAAAATTTAATTAATGTACTATCATTTAAAAAACCAAGAGGTTTCTTATAAGAACCAGATATCCAACTTTATATGAAACGCTTAAGGACCTAGCAAGACTAGGCTCATATTCCCACATGGGAACAATCAACAGCAGATGAGTGGTGGCTGCCCCGTGAGGGCAGTTGCCCTTTAGGTCCCCAGAGAGTCTAACCCTCCCCTGATGCCTCCCCCAATGGTTGGGCCAGTTATCCATTGCCGTATAGCCTCACATTTCCTGTTAAGAAGAAATGAAGCTATTTCTTGAATCTGTGTCATTATTAATACTGCAAAAGTGAAAGGTAGAGCAAGAGATTCTTATATTTCAAAATAGTGGGAAGACCACATTTCTTTGTGTCAATGGGGAAATATCCCTACAATGTTCAACATGTAAATTAAATGGGTCTATTTTGAAAGGTTACAATTTAAGGCTCTTAACTGCCTGCCTTTACTCATTTTTATCTGCCTGGCCCCTTTAAGGTGTGGAGTTTGCAACTCCTATTATAGAACACTTAGATTGATAAATGGTGTCTCAAGACTGCCCCGCCTGGGGGTTATTTAGATATAGAAAGAGATCTAATTTCATGTCCTCTTATTGATAAAGGGAAAAAAAAAAATTCCAATAATACTTCATTGAGAATACTTCATGTGTTGTAAAACATTGAGACTAAAAAAAAATTTGCTTTACTTTCTCAAATTCTATAATTTTTCTTTTAATTCCAGGACTGTAAGTGGAAAATGTATATGGAGATGGATGGGGATGAAATTGCAATAACCTACATCAAAGATGTGACATTCAACACTAACCTACCTGATGCAGAGATTTTAAAGATGACAAAGGTAGGGTTCTATTTACAGCTTAAAAGCTTTTTTGAATTCACAGATATCAAACAAAGACATTAAAATACCCCAGTGGTGTGCTTTTGTGCTCATGATGTTCATACCAGCTCAGCTTCAAGCTGGCTGTTGAAAGGCACATTTTATTTAGCAGATTGAGATCATAATAGTTTTTTGTTAAAATTTCACTTATGCTGTGTGAACTAAAAAGTACTACAGAAAAGTGCTGTTTAATTTTTTTTAACTTCCTTCTACATTTCTTTAGGCATATTCTGTCATTTATTAAAGAAAAGAAAATGCTAATGATGAAAATATTTACTTTGAATTTGGGGTCATTTTATTTATTTATTTATTTGGGGGGGGGTGGTCATTTTAAACTTTCAAAAACTTGTCAGAAGAAAGATTTCTTGAATTTCTGGAAGAACTGGGATGAGATTATCCAAAAGGCACATATTGCAGTATTCATGGTTTTCTTGAATTCACCCCTGTGAATTCCTGGAGTGACCAGACAGTATCTTTCTACTCTGGGGTCAATAGTAGAAGCACACCCATTAAAATGCTGAAGACAGAGAAATGCTTAGCTTCTCTTCAAAATAATCATACTGAAAGCATACATATAAGACTTCAATTGTAGAAGGTCAAGCACTCAGGTAAATAACCACAATGTCAACAGGTCAGTTACCATAAACGTCACAAAAGGCATGAACTCTACTACATGATCGACTGCGTATTTGGTTTCAGTGAAGAAAATGAGGCTGGCAGCAACAAGCCAGGGTGCAGACACAAGTGAGGAAGTGAAAAGAGCCTTCAAATCCCCAGCATCAGACTTGCAAATGTGTTCCCTTCCCAGGCACGAGACTGCTAACCACCCAAGTGTAAAGAATCCACCTGCAATGAAGGAGACCAGGGTTCAATCCCCGGGTCAGGAAGATCTCCTGGAGAAGGAAATGGCAACCCACTCCAGTATTCTTGCCTGGAGAATTCCATGAACAGAGGAGCCTGGCAGACAATAATCCATGGAGTGGCAAAAGAGTCAAACATGACTGAGCAACTAAGACTTTCACTTTTAATTTACAAGCATATGCATCAAGTAGATTGACGTGATATTCCTTGTTGGATTGCCCCTGTGTACTGGAAGTTATGTTATTTATCTGTAAAGGTTATGATCTGCTTTCGCCTTTCCCTTATTCTGTTGGGACAGACTGTGTTTTGGTGTCTGGGAGCCTGGACACACACATACTTTCTCTTTCCTCCCCACCTGTGCTGTCTCTGGTTGCGACCAGTTTGTGGCTTCAGTGTCGCTGAGAAGAAGTCACTGCCTGCTAACGGAAGGAAGTCACTCAGAGCAAAAATAGCAGGGTGGAGTTATAAAACTGAACATAGGTGTTTCTGCTCTAAGGCTAATATATACATTCCAGAGGAACCCCGGATCTTCTGCAAAATCACGCACCAACATTAACAAGGCTTATGGGAAAAAATAGGACTGGGCTGGACCATTCAAAATCTGCAGGACTTTTCAACATCAACAGAAACAATAAAAAGTCCTAATTAAGGAAAGAAAAAATACCAAGATTGATTCTTGTCTCAGGAGAGACTAGAGGTTGGCTCCACACCTAGACAAACTTGGTCACTAACTCTCCTGCCTCCCATCTGTACCTCTAAGGGCCCATAGTCTTTCCTAAAAATCAATTTCTCTCCCCCAAGAGGCCTATGTCTCCCTCTTCCCTTTCCTCTATAAACATGGCATTTAACCCTGAATTCTCTGAATTACTCATTTTCCCCTGGGTATCTCCCATGTATACATGAGGTATAAATGCTAATAAACTTCTTTGTTTTCTCATGTTTTAAAAAAAAAAAAAAGCTCAGTTAAATCTCTACCAAATTTGCTTTGTACCCATCTCAGGGTCAGCCAGTCATTTGCAACCTTAAATCTGGAATGACAGGCTGGGGGGTGGGAAGAGAGTGGAGATTCACCTCTAATAAAGACCACTTTCATCTCACTTAAAATAGGACCCAAAGCATAGGCTTGTTCATTACTCATTTATCTTAATGTAGCAGGGAAATGACCCACCCAACCCCAGTTTCATTTGCGCCCACAACGTTGCTGGGTATCCTGATATAACCAGAAAGCAGAGTGGTTATGAAACCTCTAAACCAGCCACTGCTTGCACTCAGAAAAAACACTTTAGGATCTTCTTAGATTGTTAAGGATTTCTCTTAATTGCGAAAAGCTTTCTGAGAAGTCTTCCAGATATTAGCATGAGTTAATGATCTAATGATACAACTGAGAGATGCATGAGAAAAGAGAAGATTGTGGGAGACAAGATTAGCTGTTTACAAACATATAAAAGGATGTCTTATGAAAACCAAACGCCCAAAAGAGACTCAGATGTATAGAACAGACTTGTGGACTCTGGGAGAAGGCGAGGGTGGGATGTTTCAAGAGAACAGCATCGAAACATGTATATTATCTAGGGTGAAACAGATCACCAGCCCAGGTTGGGTGCATGAGACAAGTGCTCCGGCCTGGTGCACTGGGAAGACCCAGAGGGATCGGGTGGAGAGGGAGGTGGGAGGGGGGACCGGGATGGGGAATACATGTAAATCCATGGCTAATTCATTTCAATGTATGACAAAAACCACTGCAATGATGTAAAGTAATTAGCCTCCAACTAATAAAAATAAATGGAAAAAATAAAAATAAAAAAAAGAAAGAAAACCAAACGCCCAAAGATCAGACATTAGCATGTTGTGAGTAATCACATGGGAACCAACAGGGCTTTTCTAATAATCTGACATCATGGCGTTCATGACAGCCTGACATCACACCCTATTTGCAGTTGTGTACAGCATGACTGGCCTCCCAAGAAACCTATACAGTAGCAGGGCAGACTGTATTAAGGCAGTTGTTGCTGTTTAGTCTCTAAGTCATGTCTGACCTCTGTGACCCCATGGATTGTAGCCCACCAGGCTCCTCTGTCCACGGGATTTCCTAGGCAAGAAGACTGGAGTGAGTAGCCATTTCCTTCTCCAGGGGATCTTCCTGACCCAGGGATTGAACCTGTGTCTCCTGCATTGCAGGCTGATTCTTCACTGCTGCACCATCAGGGAAGCCCATACTACAGCACCTTTCTAACTTCTATTTTTCAGCCCCCGTTTGTAATGGAGAAGTGGATTGTAGGAATAATGGAAAATCAGACTGTAGAATGCACTGTCACATATGAGGTAAGCCTGGGTAAGGGGTAGGGGAGAGGGGGCAAGGCTGTTGGCTTCACCATCAGTTTCTCCAAAGGGGTTTATTTGCTGCCTCAGGGTGTTTAGCATTTATTGGAAGAGAAGCTATTTAACCAACACGAATATAGGAAGATCAATATAATTATTCTAACAAAGTAATGAAAGGAATGAAAACAGAGTACTTACCTAGAGATTGAGGTAGTAATTCATTCATCAGTTAATGATTAAGCACCTTCTGAATACATATGTATACATGTGTGACATACTGGGGATATGGAACAGTGACCTAAACAAAGCTCTGCCTTCTTGGTGCTTCGAGTCTAAGGGTGAGGGTAGCTCAGTGAGTGATTCTTCACATGGGACAGGGTACAACTTCTACTACTACCATCAAAACCAGATTCCATATATTTAATATACGAAAAAAATTGAAAAATGTTTAGAAAAACAATATATTTGTTTTAGATAAACAAGTATTTTAGAAATAGGTGCTATTAAAACTAAAATTCATATGTTTAGCATTACCTACCAACAGGTACCATTCTTTGATTTGTTTGTTCAGTCACCAAATCATGTCTGACTCTCTGTGACCCCGTGGACTGCAGCACACCAGGCTCCTCTGTCGTCTACTGTCTCACAGAGTTTGCTCAAATTCATGTCCATTGAATAGGTAATGCTATCATTCTGTGATTAAATGAAGTCGCTCAGCTGTGTCCGACTCTTTGCAACCCCTTGGACTGTAGCCCACCAGGCTCCTCCGTCCATGGGATTCTCCAGGCAAGAATACTGGAGTGGGTTGCCATTTCCTTCTCCAGGGAATCTTCCCGACCGAGGGATCAAACCCAGGTCTCCCGCATTGCAGGCAGATGCTTTACCCTCTGAGCCACCAGGGAAGCCCATTCTGTGATTAGGGTAGACTAAATCTAAATCTATACTCTCTGAAGGTTTATATATACTCCAGTGGAGGGTGATAGATAATAAATAGATAAATAAATTAGTAATGTCAGAGTGGTAAGTGAGAACCAGAAAACAGTCAGACTTGGGGCATTAGATTCAGTGGTCAGGGAAGACCCTTCTTCTCAGTGTGAGGCAGCAAGGAACAGCAGAGGAAGGGCAAGCACAAGTCTGGAGCACAGAGGACATGACAAGGCTAGAGAGGCAGGCGGGGCCAAGCACAGAGCCTCCTGGGGCCGAGGTGAGGAGTTTGGATTAACTGTAACACCACGGTGGCTGTTCTAAGGATTCTGCTGCTTTAAATGATCTAATTATGTTTTTGAAAAGAGCAAGATCTTCATGGTGGTGGAACAATCTGCTTCACAAGGTAGAGAAACCCTGGTTTTCTCTACCTGGGAATGGGATGGAGGGAAATAGTTATAGCAGTCTAGGCACATATGGAGATATGGTTAGTATGAATGTAGTTAGTATCCAGCTACCCTCAGTAGTATATATGTAGTACGTAGTTAGTATGCAGCTACCCTCAGCAGTATGTATATAGCATGTAGTTAGTATGCAGCTACCCTCAATAGGACATGGCTTTCATTCATTCACTCTCTTATTCATCTAAGAAACACTTAGCAAGGATTTACGGGCTGAGACAGTAAAGCGTCTGTCCACAATGCGGAAGACCCGGGTTCAGTCCCGGGGTAAGGAAGATCCTCTGGAGAAGGAAATGGCAACCCACTCCAGTACTCTTGCCTGGAAAATCCCATGGACTGAGGAGCCTGGTGGGCTACAGTCCATGGGGTCGCAAAGAGTCGGACACGACTGAGCGATTTCACCTTCACCTTCACCTTTTACCATGACCTAGATACTGTAAGCGGAGAAGGCAATGGCACCCCACTCCAGTACTCTTGCCTGGAAACTCCCATGAACGGAGGAGCCTGGTAGGCCGCAGTCCATGGGGTCGCTAAGAGTCAGACACGACTGAGCGACTTCACTTTCACTTTTCACTTTCATGCATTGGAGAAGGAAATGGCAACCCACTCCAGTGTTCTTGCCTGGAGAATCCCAGGGACAGGGGAACCCTGGTGGGCTGCCGTCCATGGGGTCGCACAGAGTCGGACACAACTGAAGCGACTTAGCAGCAGCAGCAGCAGATACTGTAAGAGGAACTTACACCTGTGTTATTTCAGTAACCTTGTACAAATACTCAAAGGTAAGGAGCACTACCTTCATGTGGCAGCTAGGGAAAACCGGCTCAGAGAGATGAAAGGTGGTCCCAAGGTCTGGGGTGGTCAATGAGAATCTGTGGGGTCACCAAGTTCCTTCGAGTGTGAATACAGTTTCCAGCCTTCCTTGGCTGTTCTAGCCATTCCCTTCCCAACAGTAAGATGAGGGAAATTAGCCTCGAAAGGACTTTATATGCTGCTGCATAGGGATGGTCTTCTGAGCTGCCACAGAGTAGCATTTTAACATAAGAAGTCCAAAGTCTGGCCAGTCCACTTATTCAGGGTGACCCGATATTGGAAGCCAATTAGGATGACAGCAATGATTTATCCTCCCCAGCCAGGGTACACTGCCTGTAGGAATGAGGCACCTGAGAAATAGCCTTAATTGTCAAAGTGTGGCTTGCAGGGCACAGACCTAAATAAAAGAAGTCAACTGGTCTTGAGGAACTGGGAATCTGGACTGTTCTAGAGCCTGTTGACCAGTCCCTAGTACCAAGGAAAAGCCCTCTTTTTAGTAACTGGACAGTAATAACAGCCAGTTTTCATCTCTGCCTGCCTTAGCTCTGGAGACACGCCTCACCAAATTCTTCTCTTCTCTTTCTCTCTCCCCCGCCTCCTCCTCCTCTCCTTCTCAGACTCTGGGATGATGTGACAATTGTGTCAGTAACAGTCACTTCAGGGCTTTTTAAAAAATATGTATTTTCATAACCTTATCCCATCCTGAGAGGTTCTTCAATCCAGTCTGACTTGTGGCACCTGGTGATAAAGGGGTAATTGGTCCCACTAACCTACCCACACAGTTACCCAGATGACCACAGGCAGTCCTGAGCAAAATAGTGGTCAAATTTTATTTATTCAGCAAAATATCTGTTTTCAACTACTATAAACGAAAGACATTGTTTTTCATTACTCATGAAACAAAGAGGTAAGTTGAGATTTACCAACAGATTCTTAGAGAAGACAACCACCTTTTTAAACTACTGTAGTCCACTAAGGAATAAAGTGGTTAATTTTTTTTAATTTTAACTGTATCACCATATTGACGCAAACAGTGCAAATATTTTACCCGGTGCATTATGATAGTGTTCTAAAGAGTTACCTTGAACAGATAATGAGAACCTGATTTTCTTTCCTGTTTTATAAGCATGCATATATCCGGTTGTGGGTTTCTCTCCCTATTTTTTTTTTTCCACAGACTGATGTTAGAACTCCAAAAAGCACTAAACACATCCATTCGATTCAGTGGAGTAGAACGAAACCTCAGGATGAAGTGAAGGCCGTCCAGCTTGCCATTCAGACGTTATTCCCCAACTCAGAGGGCACCCCTGGAAGCAGGTCTGACTCAAGTAAGTTAGCTGTGCTCTAGACAGATTCCAAAATGGAAATGTCAAAAGTCTCACATTAGGAATAAGGACCAATCTGTAAGTTCATATAGATTTCTTTTTTTTTTTCTTTTTGCTGTGTGTACAGCTTGCAGGATCTTAGTTCCCCAACCAGGGATCAAACCTAGGTCCCCTACTGTGGAAGAGTAGAATCCTAACCACTGGGTTAGGGAATCATTTACTTATTTAGCTGTGTTGGGTCTTAGTTATGGCATGCAGGATCTTTTAGTTCAGGCATTTGAACTCCTAGTTGCAGCATGTGAGATCTAGTTTCCTGACCAGGGATCAAACCTGAGTACCCTGCATTGGGAGTAGAGTCTTAGCCACTGGACCATCAGGGAAGTTCCCCCCATAGAGATTTCTAATATCATGCATGCATGCATGCAAAGTCAATTCAGTTGTATCTGATTCTTTGTGACCTTATGGACTGTATACAGCCCGCCAGGCTGCTCTGTCCATGCGATTCTCCAGGCAAGAGTACTGGAGTGGGCTGCCATGCCTTCCTTCAGGGTATCTTCTTGACCCAGGGATCGAACTTGTGTCTCCTGCAGGTCCTGCATTACAGGCAGATTCTTTACCACTGAGCCACTGGGGAAGCCCTCTAATATCATACTTCCTCCTATTTTTAGAATATTGGCTTTATACACAGATTATATGGAAAGTAGAAATTATGGGCTTGGAAATAAGAATATTATAATAAAGTTCCATATTCAAGTAACTATCATAGAAGATACAAATCAATGATTATGTCCTATTGAAAAATACATATATATATTTATACACATATATATATTTAGTTTCCAAGACTGTAGATAAAGATAAGAATCCTCTTCCATGTCCAGCACACATTCCTATGAAGTCACTACTGTCACTGGGGCAACCTCTTGTGTCCTTAACACCATAGATCCATCAAAGCAAAAGAATGACAGGGCAAGCAAGAGAGAGGGCCGGGCATGGGGGGGTGATAAAAGTAAGGGAGGAAGGAAGGAAAGGAGGATGGAGAAAGAGAAACATGAAATGCATGTGCTGGGTAGTGGTGACAATAATTACAGATGCTATAAAGAAGCCATTTAGATATGACTTAGAGTAAGACAGGCTGCCTTGTTGATGAACTGGTCATTATTTGCTAGCTTCAGGGGAAAAGTTCTGACCTTCACCTTAGCAGACCCAGAAACTCTAACACAACCCAGACTCAGGCTAACAAACACTAGGGAGCTGGATACATAAACTCCTGTGCAAATCACCTTTTGCCATGAGAAACATACCAACAACCAAACAAACCAACAAACCAAACAACACCTGTTTTCTGACCGATGCCTCTTTTTCCCAATAAGAAAATACCTTTGATGGAGAAGGAGATGGCAACCCACTCCAGTGTTCTTGCCTAGGAAATCCCATGAACAGAGGGGCCTGGTGGGCTATGGACCATGGGGTTGCAAGAGTCGGACTCAACTTAGCAACTAAACAACAACAATTAATCAGGGTTCAAATGTGTATGCTTCCATGATCCAACCAACACAGCAGTTTAAATCCCTCACCTGCTACACTGTAATAGAAATAAACTCTTTAAAAAAAAAGAAAAGAAGATATCCCTGAGAAGTCATAACAGAAGGTTCTTTGGTGGCATGGAAGCAAAGCACCCTGATGGCTACTGTCACTGAGTTATGAGTGTGTCCTCCATGGTGAGGACTGGCTTAGCAAGCACATCAGGTGTTTTAAATGCTCACTGGCCAGGGGCCCCAGGATCCTGGGTGGTATTCTAAACCCAGCAACAAATTCTGTCACAGCATGCTAGACCTGCCTTGCTTTGTCAGCATGGTTGATTGGGTTATTTTTCTTTCTCATTCTAAAGTTCTTAAACCATGGGTTTTAACTATACTAAAATGTACCATCTTCCATCACAAGAAGTCCAGAGGTAGGCTGGGCTCCAGGTACAGTAAGATAAGGAGCTCAGTGAGCCTTGCCTGGTTTCTACTCTGCCATCCTTAACAGGTTGCCTTGGTCCTCGGCCTAGCTCCTCTCAAATTCACAGTCATCACATAAAGATATGGTAACGCCCACAGGAAAGAAGAGGTCAATCCCTTCCCTGGTCTCATGCTTGGGAGGAAGACTTGCTTAGAGGCCCCTTTGCAGACTACCTTTCAGGTCACCTTTTTGGCCAGAACTGAGTACCTTGTTCATTCTTAACCATGGCATCATGTGTCTGGCTTGGACTAATCAAAGTCTTCCTGAGAGCTGGATGTGATCAGCTTCCCCAGTGCTCATGGCTCCATGTAGGGGGCTGGACACTGAGCAAAATTAGCGTTCTGTTGGAAGCTAAGATTTCGGGAAGGTCCAAGTGAAGGGAAAGAAGCATGTGATGGTGCTCGCTTCGGCAGCACATATACTAAAATTGGAACGATACAGAGAAGATTAGCATGGCCCCTGCGCAAGGATGATATGCAAATTCGTGAAGCGTTCCATATTAAAAAAAAAAAAAAAGAAGAAGCATGTGATGGCTGACTGAAGCCTGCGAGCCTGAACACAGGAGGTTGCCTGTGTCTGGATGCATCCCTCACCGGAGAGGCGTGAGGCATCGTGCTGGCAGAGGCAGTGGGCATGCTCTGTTCCTCTCCAGGAGCCCCACTGACACAAGCCAGAGTAGCTCAGGGAGGGTACCAGGAAACTCAGGGATGTGGGCAATGCAGCCCCAGGGAAGACAGAGAAGATCCAAGGTGGAAGGAACTTGCTTACTCACTGAAATATAGTTTACTAAGTGGCTGTTAATTAAGCATTTTCTTTTACTGTAACTTCTTCCTGTTTGCCACAAAGCTTCATTTTTCAGGCAGAAAACATTTCTTATTCCTGAACCTCAGGAATCTCTCCTCCGGAGATATAAACTTTCTTCCAATCTCTAACTGTCTCAACCATTAGAACCTAATCTCCTTTATCTGCATTTAGGGTTCTTGAGGATTTAAAAGTGCTGGTTAGCAAAAAGCCTTTTGTTGACCAAACATGCCCCTGCCATCCAAAGACACTTAAACAGTCATTTCTAGAAGTGACAACATGGCTAAAATGGGGAGAAGATAGAATTTAGACACAGGAATATTAGCTGAGTGACCATGGGTCTGCTGACTTCACCTCTCAAGCGTCAGTCTCCTCCATTATAGAATGATATTATTAGTATTGACCTGAGAAGATGGCTCAGTGGTAAAAAATCTGCCTGCCCATGCAGGAGCCACAGGAGACGCGAGTTCGATCCCTGGGTGGGGAAGATCCCTTGGAGGAGGAAATGGCAACCCGCTTCCAGTAGTCTTGCCTGGAGAATCCCATGGACTGAGGAGTTTGGCAGGCCACAGTCCATGGGGTCACAAAGAGTCAGACACAGTTGAGTGTCTGATCACAGTTTCTAAGAAGATGTCAGGGAGGTTAAGTGATATATTATAAGAAAAGCCTTTGGAACAGTGCCAGCATATAGCATACATTTGGTAAGTATAAATGCCCTTATTTTTTTTTAATAAATATTTATAATAAAGGAAATGTTTTGATACCTAGCCTAGAATTATGAATGGTAATGCTTAGAGCTTCCCAAAGAAGTTTGAAATTTTGTGAGACAGGCTTATGAATTAGGCATGCAGCTTTACTGTGGCTTCAAAGATGCCCATTTCCATTTTTTCCACAGGCGCTGATTGCCAGTGGCTGGATACTCTGAGGATGCGGCAGATTGCATCCAACACTTCCCTACAGCGCTCCCAGAGCAACCCCATCCTGGGGTCCCAATTCTTCCCCTATTTCAGTGACCAGGACTCCTATGCAGCTGCGGTGAGGCGGACCCAGGGGCCCATGAAGTATCAACAGATTACACCTATAAACCAGTCCAGAAGCTCCTCTCCTACTCAGTACGGACTGACCAAAAACTTCTCTTCTCTGCATCTTAACTCCAGGGATAGTGGCTTTTCCAGTGTTAATACTGACAGCTCTTTAGAGAGGGGGCGATACTCTGGTAGAAGCAGGAACAAATATGATCGAGTTAGCCACTCACTCAATTCTTCTCCGAGAGGAAGACACAGTGGGAAAAGTCAGCATTCCACTCCTTCAAGAGAAAGATATTCTGGAAAATTCTACAGGGTTTCTCAGTCAGCGTTCAATGCTCACCAGTCACCTGACTTCAAGAGAAGCCCAGATGCCTCCCATCAACCCAGGACCATCCCAGGGATGCCTTTGTGCACTGTCACGGACTCACGAGCCAGTGAGGAGGAGAGCAGAGTCAGCGAAGGGGGATGGACAAAGGTGGAATACCGCAAGAAACCCCACAGGCCCTCCCCTGCCAAGACCAACAGAGAAAGGCCCAGAGCAAACTTCCGAGGAAGGAGAAACTTTTGATGAATTGAACTAGTTGAGCTTTTCTTAGTTTTTTTTTTTTTTTAATGTAATGGATTTTGATAATGTGCTGCCTTCAGATAAAATTAACAAAAGACAATGTTTCCCTTCTGGGGGTTTAGAATATACCTTCTAAGAGAGCCTATAACCAAAACAAGGCCAAAATTGTGGATGTTGGTTGTCCATTGTAAGTAACTGGACTTAAAACATAGCTATATGTATTTTATTCCCCTGAATTAACATCTTTAGAGAAGGGAATATACCACTGTATTACCCTAGCCACTGCTTTTCTGGTTAGCAGGGCCTGGACTAGGGTGAACTTAAATGCAGAAACTTAGCTTAAATAGGGCACTCATCTTGGGTGCAAAATTTAAGGAGGAATCGAAAAGCTCAATAATCAAGATTAATAATATTCTAGTGCAATATTTAAATAATATTCTAGTGCCATATTTAAATAAATGAAAATGAATGCAAAAAATTGTGATAAAAAAATCGAGATTCTGGAGAAAGACAGATCAGTATTACTGTGTTTTTCCTTTTGTCTAAGGCTCCAGTATGGCTTGGCAAGACACTGTTACTGATCCTGTCTTTATTTAAAAATCTTATATTAATATTTTGTTCATCATGTATTCTTTGCATTAATTTTCTCTTTCAAAAATATTGCATTAAAATATCATTTATTTTGATTACTCAGGTGGGGCTTCTTTAATGTCTCCTTAAATTGTGTGCCCAAGGCAAGTACCTCACTTGCCTTACCCAATCTCCACACAGCCGGTTAGTATTTATTTTAGTAAGACATTTGGGTTTTTATCTTAGTCAGAGCTGAATTGACTAGGCTTGTCATTTTTAGGCAATAAAAAAGGTTACTGGATTTAATGTTGATCATATTGCCACATATTATTCCATGAGACTCATCAGAAACCAGAAATCTACACTGCTTAGGAGATTTGTGGTTATTTCTTTCCCAAATCTCCCAGGGACTGCAATCAAATATTATTTTCTACATTTTGCCAAAGGAGGAGCCAAGAGGGGAAAACAGAGGTCTGTAAAGTTCTCTTGGGATGTCAGAACTTTAAAATCTAAAAGAAAACAGACACAGAACAGGATGATAACATCACAAGCTAAAAGTCAGAGAAATTTAAAATTACTATCATCCTTGTTAGAGCGAGACAGTAAATACCATCCTTGTATCAAGAAAGCTGTAAGCAGCTGGGGGTAAAGAGGTGAATGGCATGGGTGGGAGGAAGCTGACTACAGTTTAGGACAGGCATTGTGGGATCTGGCTTGGGAAATCCTTCATATTTTTATAAATCAAAAAAGCCTGGTGGCAACAAACGTATTATATGTCAAATGAATAAATGTTACTTTCAGTACATTCTGAGTTTCTATTCAACATTCACTAGCTCTGAATATCAACCGTTCTTTGCCCTGCATAGAATTCTCAGTGCTCTGCCTAAATCTGATTCTGGGGAATTGCCAGTGTTGGGGGTGGTTCTCTTTTAATAGAAACCAGCCATCAAGTACATGCATATATTCCCAGAGTAACTGCCCTGCTCTAATATGGTCCTTGTGGCCTAGGGTTGGTTTGGGCAGCATTAAAGAATCCCATGGATAGAGGAGCCTGGCAGCTTACAGTCCATGGGGTCGCAAGAGTTGGACACAACTTAGCAACTAAACCACCAACATCACAAAATCTAGGTTATAGGAAACAACTTTACTTGTGTGGAAAGTTGTGACCTAATCATCAATCCAACAACTCAACTGTATAACTCTTATTGTTTAACACCTGCATTTACAAGCAAAAGTGATGGGAAATAGTGACATTAGGCACTGAGGTCCTCTTTTCCACTGTGGATGACCAACTTCTCCAAGGATTTAAGTTCCACTGTGATCCTTTCTCATGAAGCTTATATCAACCACATCTGTTTTCAATTATTTTTCCCTTTGTCCTTTGTTCATGTTTAATTTTTTTAAGAGGGCTAATTCAAAGTATGCTATCTTCACAGCATGCTGTTTCCAAATAAGCAATAAAATAACTTTCTTTGATTAGGATTTTTGGATAAGTAGCTAAATGCAGTCTTAATTGGGTCACTCTGATGGAACATGGAGTATGGGTTTAATTATTAAACAAAAGGTTCATTCTGAGGAATATTTTAAGACTCTAGTTTAAAAGGTGTTATGCCAATAATTGCTTGTTTCATGCTTTTTCCCTTCTTGCTTTCTTGGGCTATTCATTGGAGAATCCAACCTAGTAGTAAAATGACTCAATGACCTCATTCCTAGTTAGTGCAGTAGCTAATCACAAAGAGGTTATTCCAACACTGTACAAAACTGACCGCCTCAAAAGATCTCATGAAAAAATTCCTGTCACCTCAATGCTCCTAGTCAAAACCAAAATAAGAACATCTGTGGTCTGCTTCTTGGTTGAAAGAAATTATTCTTATTATTAAAGAAATAATAAGGGTGGATGTTATTTTTTTCCTAATGATGCTTATTCATCAAAAATTGCTTGCCATGTTGCAAGATGAATGTAAGTGAAGAACAGAACAAGGATTAAGAGGATTTTTTTCCCCATCAAGTTAAATCAGTTGCAAGAGGCTGATGTTAATAGCAACAACAATCAACAGCAAAAAAAAAAAAAAAAAAAAAAAAACAATGAAAAACCACCAGGGATATTTTAAGAGGAAAAGTTATAGTAGGAACAAATTAAGAAACTATATCTTGAGTTAGGCACCTGTAAGTGTGGGGGTGTGGCAGACCTTCAGTAAGCTTCAGATCAAGTCTGAAACACCTGAACCTGCCCTGGTTGCTACCAAAGAGGCAGGCATTACTCCAGGCATTGGCCAGGCAAAGCATGATGTTTTGCTCTCTGCACAGTCACTAGATACCAATGCTACAGCACTGACCTAATAACTGAATAATCCCACATTCGTAAAGGAGAACTGGAGATTACTTAGCAAAGATACATTTGAAATAAATATAACCTGGTCATTGTTTTCAACCAATTCCTGAATATTGTTCATAAAAATTAAACTGCAATGTTTAAAAATATTCACAGTAAAAAAAAAAAAATTCACAGTAAAATTTAAAACAGTAAAATCTTGGATAACTGGATGAAGACACAAAAGAAGACTCACAGTGGCAGAGTGATAATGGGTAAAACTTGGTATGAACAACAGAAAAAATGATATATAAAATCTTCATTGTAAAACTTACACTGAAAATAACTAATCCCATGGGGGAAATCAGTACAATAAAAATTAATATAAAAATGGGAAATTATTTTATTATGCTGGATAGAATGCATGCGTGTGTGCTCAGTTGTGTCCCACTCTTTGTGACCCCATGGACTGCAGCCCACCTGGTTCCTCTGTCCATGGGATTTTCCAAGCAAGAATACTGGAGCAGATTGCCATTTCCTTCTCAAGGGGGTCTTCCCAAACCAGGGATCAAACCTCAGTCTCCTGCATTGGTAAGTGGATTCTTCACCAGGAAAGCCCATTAGATGGAATATCAGGGAACTAAATTGGCATAATGACATTCTTCCTTGACACAAACATTTCTCAGTAGTTATATATAGTTCTGATCACCTTTTATCCATAAATAAGTGTTTAAAAGTCCAAGGGTCAACACATCAAGGTCAGAATGTCCAGTGGTTCAAAATGGAACAGCTTGCACACAGCTCATAGCATTCTGACTCAATTGCAACTGTTCCAGTTCAGAAATACCAAATATTTTATGTCTCCCAAGTCTCCTTATAATTTATCATTTCACCACAACACGTTGGTACAGACACGGCATGCTTCTGAAACTCTGGCTCAGCTACAAGATGTTGTGATTCGGTTGTGCAAACTTATGGAAACTCTAAATTAGAGACACTGTAGTGAGGAGGCTTATAAAATCTCTTGCCATCACTCAGGTTTGAGAAGCTGCAGTTAAGCCAGGATGGCCTGGGGAAGTCAGGCCATAAGACCTGGACCCAGCTCTATTGACTGCTCCTGGAACTAGTATATGAAGATTGTGGAGGTGGAAAAAAGCACTAGATCCGTGGTCAACCTTGTCAAGGCTTTAGGGTAGCAGGCACCAGTGACTCTTCACTCTATTGCCTTTCCCTTTGACTCACTGGCTGGTCAAGCAATGCATGAGCAAATTAAGAGAGTGAAAGAATGAAGTGGACTTGTGACCTTGTAGCTCATTCAATGGAGGAGGCAATGGCAACCCACTCCAGTACTCTTGCCTGGAAAATCCCATGGACGGAGGAGCGCAGTCCATGGGGTCGCTAAGAGTCGGACACGACTGAGCAGCTTCACTTTCACTTTTCACTTTCATGCATTGGAGAAGGAAATGGCAACCCACTCCAGTGTTCTTGCCTGGAGAATCCCAGGGACGGGGGAGCCTGGTGGGCTGCTGTCTATGGGGTCACACAGAGTTGGACATGACTGAAGCGACTTAGCAGCAGCAGCAGTAGCTCATTCAAAACTAAAATAAAAGTTTATCCTCCATAATCAATGTTCTATTTACTCAACTGTCCCAAAGAAATTGCTTCCCTACCACCTAGGTGAGTCTCACTCAGCCCTCAAGTGCCAGCTGTCATCCTGGAAGGCCTCTGTCCACACTTCCTGTCACTTTGCCCATTCTGAACTCCTCTTGGGGGCACCTTATCACTCAGTCCCTTGCACCATTGCTTAAGCCTTGCGTTCCCACTCCTCTGAAGGTACTCTGGGAGGACAATACAATGATGCCCAAGAACTTGGCAACGGGAAATACAACTAGCCACCAAGAATTCAATGGAATGACCACAAACACCACAATACCTCCCAGGCCTGAAAAGCATGCATATATATCAGACCAGAGACATGAAATGATGAGTCTTCTAGAGGTGGTGGAAGGGTTAGGAGGTGGGTTTGGGGACAGACAGAGGTGGTCAGCCTTAGAAGCCCAGAATAAGGCAGTCCACAAAGGAAAAGGTTAGCCATACTATCCACACCAGGCCTTCACACAGGGCATAATGTGCCCAATCACTCCTAGAGACCAGTAAGCATCACAACATTGTCCAGCAGAGCCTTTCCCAGACTGATGTGAGAGTCTACTTGGTTAGGGAAATATAAATCTTTTGTGGAGATGGTCATTTGATCGGGCTCCTGCTTACTTTTTCTGCATCACTGTTTGCCTCTCCCCACAGTGATCAAACTGAAACGCTGTTATATTCTCCCTTGTCTTCAAAACTCCCTCCATCCTGCTTCCTCTGCACTGGCTGGCTGAGTCGGCCTTTAGCTCTCTGCTAAGACCTTGCTTCCTCCAGGAAGCCTCCCTGATCCCCAGGCCTAGGTCAGGCTCATCCTCATGTGTTCACACAGGACCTTGTGATTAATCAGATGTATCTCCCTTTGTTAAAATCATCCCCAAATCTGCTCCTCTGTACTCCTTCATAGATAGATCATCAGTGTTATTTCCAATACACAGTTGGTACTCAGTCTGTTTACTGAATGCATAATTAATTGGCAAATATATTGATCAGACTAATAAACCATCAAATCATCTAAATTCTTGTTCTAATCTCATGCTCATTAAGTGACTTTAACAGGATTCTCCAATTCACTTTAGAGTTACATTTCTAGTATTGAAAAGAAATTACCATTCTGATTTTATACATCAGTCTCTCATGAGTTTTGCCAATGCAAATTGGCCCCTGAGAACAACTCTGAAGCATTGACTAGATTTGGGGGCTTATTGCGAATTCCTTGGTGATCCAGTGGTTAGGACTCAGCAGTTTCACTGCTTGGCCCAGGTTCAGTCTCAGATTGGGGAACTAAGATCCTGCAAGCATCGTGGTGCTGCCAAAAAACAAAAAGGGGAATGGGGTGGGGGGGCTGATCAGTGCGAGCAGATTCTGGGTGTGCCAAGGCCCCCAAGGAAAGGCCAGCCTGTTTTTCCCAAGAAGCAACCCCTTACATCATAGTGAACTATGCTCATTTTCCATTTTGAGTTTTTGTACCTAGTATAGCACAATAAACACCAGATCTCAAGAAATGCTTGTCACAGGAATAGAAAAAGAATAAAAATATCATATATGTTCAAGAATTTCACACAGAGACATTGTCCTTTTAGACATTGATAGAATCTCATTATATGGCTTTTCTTTGCAGAGACCCAAAGTGTGTTGTATTTTTGTTTTGCCTGTGCTTCAAGCCTTGTAGGATCTCAGTTCCCCAACTGGGG